TTCCCCCCCGGGAACCCCCAGGAAAAATCTTTGCCAAATTCGGGGCCCCCCAACCTTTCCCCCTTCCCCCCCCCCCCCCTCCCCCACCTTTCCCCCCCCCCCCCCCCCCCCACCACCCCGCCCTCAACCGCTCGCCCCCTCCCGTCGGCAGGACTTCCGAGAGTTCGGGAACGCGCTGGCGTTCTTGCAGTGCCTCAGCGAAGCCTCGGCGGGTCTTGACTGCCTCAAGTTCGTCCAGACGGTTCCGGTGATGGGACTATCCTCCTCCAAGAAGTGGGACCCAAAGCGTACGAGGCTGGTGGCCGCCACGACGGCGCTGATTCGAGGGGCGGATTTCACGGGAGAGGCGGGGGGTGAGTCCTCGTCGTGGTCGTGGTCGTTGTTGTTGTTTTTGTTTTTGGCCGTGGTTGATGGGATTCTCTGTGTAGATGGTATCACTATGCTGCGAGGCGGGGTGTGACCTGACTCATTCGCTGTGTTGATGGTATCACTATGCTGCGAGGCGGGGTGTGACCTGACTCATTCGCTGTGTTGATGGTATCACTATGCTGCGAGGCGGGGTGTGACCTGACTCATTCGCTGTGTTGATGGTATCACTATGCTGCGAGGCGGGGTGTGACCTGACTCATTCGCTGTGTTGATGGTATAACTATGCTGCGAGGCGGGGGGTGACCTGACTCATTCGCTGTGTTGATGGTATCACTATGCTGCGAGGCGGGGTGTGACTTGACCTGTTGTTGGTCGTTGAAGCATAGCTTATTGCCTGTGGCAAGCTGTTTACGCGGCATGGCTTGGAAGGAAGGCGAGCTAGCTGCGCCTAAGGACGTAGAAAACGTCTCACCACGAGGGACTCGTTGCCATATTGGTCGGAGCCTGCTGCTGCTGCTGTTGCCGCTAATGATACGGACGCGATGTTGCCTTGCGATTGATGCTGCTACGGACTATGGTGGTGGCTGTGCCCCAGCGAGCTTGTCAGGTCTAGAAGACGCCGTCCTGGAGGGGCAGGCGGCTTGCAAGGGCTTGTCCACGAGCGCTAGCATCTTCCGACACACGTTGGGCGAACTGAGCACCGCGTTAGACGTGCTCCGGCTTAGAGAGGCCTGGGCGGGAGCTCAACCTGCCAACGGGGTGAGTAGATGGCTTGATAGTTTTGAGTCGTTGCTGCTAATGAAATGTAGCGCGGTCACGAAGGTGTGTAGTATGCTGTGACTCTCGGAGTGTTGTACAGAGTACAGAACAGGAGCACTCAGCGCTCGGGATGATATTCTCGAAAAAGACGGTCCGCGTGTGGAGCTGTACCTATCTAGCGGTGCAGTTTC